CAGCAAACGCAGATATATATAGATGCGGAAACGTTTGCCACGCATTAAGACACGACGCGATAGCATGGTGTAATAAAGATTACACCATGCGCGATAGTCAATGGACCATCTTTCTGTAAGAGCTGCAATTAAGATTATTGACTACCGCATCGCATTTAAATTTGCCGCGCAGCAAGCGTTTCTGCGTCCAGGAACCATTAGTTGTAAAAATCGTATGAGGATACGTATCATCCCGGTGTGCCTGATCGATTTAATGTTTACAAATTTATTTTATTATGATACAAAATTAAAAACGAGTGGGAAATAAAATAATATTTTTACAGATTTGAGGAGAGGGGATTCTTATAGATGCTATTAGTATCAATAAATTATATTATAATTGTTTGTTAATTTATTATATTAATATATATAATACAGGTTATTGCGTAATCATAATGAAAAATACATGCTTATAAGCTTTTTATTGTTGCAATTAATAAAATATTTAATCTAATTATAATTCACATTAACAATATTTAATTAATTTTTTTTAATACAGAAATGTTTTTGAAAGTTTTTTAAAATATTTACTGTAAAATTTCAAGAAAGATTTTCGTAATATTGCTTGAAATGTTTTACGAAAATTTTCTTAAATATTTCTAAATTTTTAATTAAAGATTTAATAAATAATAAAAGAAAAATTCATGATATCTTTGTAATAGCTTGCAAAAATATTTTAAGAAATATTTCGTAAAAGATTTGTCATGCATTTTTTTCGAAATAATTCATAAAATATATTTGAAATATTTTTAAATATTTCATGACAGATTTCACATCAGTTTAATAGAAATATCTCTTATAATATTTGTGCAATATTTCTCAAATATTTTTGTAAAATATTTTAATGTTATACTTTAAAATGTTTTACAAATGTTTATAAAAAATTTCTGAAATATTTTATTAAAATATTTCAGAAAATAATTTATAAGAAATATTATGTGTTGTGTGGGACCAATACGCCGATATAATTTCCGTTTTTTTACGACTGACAAATGCGAGACCAGAGAATAGATTAGAGAGAAAGCCAATGAATGGCAGGTCATGCCAGTATCTTAGTGCTTTTATAATACTTCTGTGCAAATTTTACGTATGTATTCTAGCTTCAGCAGACTGCGTGCCGTTACTTTCGGATTCAACGCAGTTTTT